TGATTGCTAGTGTGATGGACCCACCTCTGATGTCGGTGCGAGCTGCGGGCATCCCCATAACATCAGTGCTCTCAAGCAACCGTCCTAGAGGTCCTGCCGCCCTCTGCTGCCCTTACTGTAATGGCGGTCGCCATTTTAAGCGTGTGGGCTGTACACTGCGCTCAAGAGGCCTCTCCTGTCCATGAATCTGCTCCGGAGGCCTTTCCTGTACATGAATCTGCCCCAGTGGCCTCTCCTGCCTATGAGTCTGTCTCTGAGGCCTTTCCTATCCACGAGTCTGCTCCAAGGGCCTTTCCTGTGCATGAATCCGCTGCAGAACCTCCTGAGGTGGTGGCGTCCGCTTCCGAACTCACAGACTGTCTTGTCACGGCCATTCACAAACTCACTGCCTACCCTGTCACGGCCACAGAGGCCGTTCACAAACTCACAGACTGTCTTGTCACGGCCACGGAGGCCGTTCATGAACTCACTGTCTGTCCTGTTACGGCCATGGAGGCTGTTCAGGAACTCACTGTCTGCCCTGTCCTGACTGCCACGGCCAAGGAGGCCGTTCATGAACTCACAGTCTGTCCTGTTACGGCCATGGAGGCCGTTCATGAACTCACTGTCTGTCCTGTTACGGCCATGGAGGTCGTTCATGAACTCACTGTCTACCCTGTCATGACTAAGAAGGCCGTCCATGAATTCACTGCTTGTCCTGTTACGGCCATGGAGGCCGTTCATGAACTCACTGTCTGACCTTTCACGGCCAAGGAGGCCATTCAAGAACTCTCTGCTTGTTCTGTCACCTTCAGTGGACTGATTCATTACAGCCGCGGAAAGACGTCAATATAACGACTTGTAAACAATGTCACGTAACATCACATTTACCTCAGAAAAAACATATTTGGTGAACATAAACTCATTCCTCATGTATATTTTACAGCATTCGTTGAGAGTTTTTTATCCTTGAGAAAATTTGGCATGTACTGTACCTGATATATATCCAAAATAATCGATATT